TGAGCTTGCGAGGTGTGCTTGCCCTAGCAGGCTTTTGATATGTATCCGTGTGAGTACGGCAGAGTTCCTATAAGGGACTGGTTGATATTTGGGTGTCATTTTGCCAGTGGGCCTGCGTGGTCTCTGGCTCTTGGTGATTTCAGAGTAGATGGGACAACCTCCAAACATGTATTCTTTTTAGATGGGGGTTCATGTGAACCACCGACATTGGGAGATTGAGCGTTGCCCCCTTTGCAGGTGCAGAAGCGGCAGACGAGCTCCTGTAGCCGTGGCAGCAGGGACCCTGGGACTCTCAGACTGGAGCTTGGAAGACTGACCTGGTTCGGGGGCTGTGTAAGTGTTCGCAGTCGAAGCTCAATGAACTAGTAGCGTCCTTGCTCCGTTCGTTTCGACCACATCGCGCGTTCGATCGCCACATCGAACTGACTCCCAGTCCCAAGACCATGCGACTCGGCTTCGCGACGGGAGACATGAACGTTGAGAAGGGAGGCGTCTGTACAGCTGGTAGCCAGCTAGTGGTCCACTTGGTTTCGCCCACTGTGCGGGTCTTCAAATCAAGGCTCCAGCCAGCCGGCTTTTTTGCCTTGCACCCCTCACTGTCCGCAAGGGGTCTCGCCTCAGAGTGGTGAGTTTCTCCTGGGTGGAAGCCTTCCAGCTGATGTGTAGCACGTGTAGCTCAAAAATCAGGAGACTGACCCCCGGTAACAACCCTTGGGGTTCGCTTTGGAAAATAGACCCATCCACCCAGCCGGGAGACTTGGAACAATTACACACCCATGTCCAGGTCATCAGAGCTGTTGGGCTTTCTTGGCTTCTTCGGTGCTGGAACTTTGTGCTCCAGTGCTGCGACACGTAGAGCATCCGGCTGGCACAGGCTTGATAGAAAAAGGGGATTGCTTGCAAGATCATGCAAGATCTAAGCTTCCACCAGGCAGCCCAAGTGCCAAATTTAACCACACTGAATCTGTTGAGATATTGAGATGTGTCTCAAGATGAGGAGACCCCAAAAAGTTCCCAGCATCATGCAACACCTGCTTCTTGGTGACACTAGCTGTCACTGGCTAAACACTGCTTCTGCACATGTAGACAATGTAGACTCTTGCGTTTGCCAGCCATCAAGCTTGCAAGCTGTGGTGTTCTTCTTGATGTGATGTCTTGAGTAGCGTTCTTGTTACTACTAGTAAGGCACTTGTTACTACTTGTAAGGCACTTGTTACTACTAGTAAGGCACTTGTGGTGTTCTTCTTGATGTGATGTCTTGGCTTCGCACGGGAGGAGGTGAACAGATGTTTCGGCTGGTCGCTATGCAGTCGAAAGCGGTCGCTCTAGCTGGTCGCTCCCTCGCAGGCTTCTGGCAGTTGCAATCCCAACCTGGAGCCATTATTTGTGATGTGCTTTCGGTGCAGTGAGGGGCAGGCTTGGGATTCTTGGGTTTTGTGAACATGTATTTCGGATGTTTGTTCCCCTATAACATCTGAGGAGCAAACTACAAAGCAGATATGTTTGGCAAACCATAGAGTTCCTTCAGTTGCAACTTGGAACTTAACTTCAGGTTCACATTGAGTTTCACATCAAACACCGGAATTGTGGCTTGCATCCGTCGTAGCAACATTCTCTTTTCGAAACTGCTGGGCTTGACGCTCAGTGATGTCAGACCCTCACTGGCGGGCTTGAGCTTTGTCAAGTTCAACACTCACTGTTCTGAAACTACCCGGACCATCCAATGGGTGTGCAATGGACTACCATAGACTACTTGGGGATCCCCATTGGACATCCATTGGACGATCCAGGTACCTTTGTATTGTTTAGAGCTGGGTATTCAAGTTTGGTTTGAGATTGGAGCCATCGATATCCGGAAGAAACGTTTAGATTCATCAAGTATTTACACATATTGCCACATTTTTTGGATGGCAAGTTGTGGTGACTTGTAGACCATGTACATCAAGGTCGGTGTAAAATTTCAGTGTTGAGCAGGATTTTGACCTGCCGTTTAGACTTTTTTGAGTTCAATTTAGGAATCCCACGTATAATTACAAACCGCTCCCGAACCCGAAAGATAGTCTAGAAACTCAGTGATTGGGGGAGACAGCCCACATTCCCCGTCTCCACAGTAGTAGCCATGACACTAGCCATTGCCTAGGCCATCACAATGGCCATGGTGCTCCAACCAGAGATAATTTTGCGCAGTCGCCGCCTGGAAGGATTCGGATAAGGGAACCATGGATTTGATCTTGCGCAACAAAAACAAGGAGCAGACGGAACTCCAACCATGCTGAGCACAACAACTCGTCACAATTGTTGTGATTGATTGATGCCTGGTGAGACGTCCAAACTGTTCTTGCTCAAATCACAATGGGATTCATATTCAAAAGTTCATATCTCCAAAATCACAACCATTCTGTTGATTCGCCATGGGCGGCCAACAATTTGCATCCGTTTTTGGCCGAGGATTCAGCCACCAGGTTGATGCAACATATTGTGTTGTCTACTGACTGTTTTATTAATCAACACATGGTACCATCCAGACCGTGATCTGAGGGCTGGTCCATATCGAGGTGGAGCTGTCAGGGGTGCGGGGCTGAGCTGGTGGATCCTATGAGTGGATCCGACATGAACCAAGACGTGTTTGAGGATTTTGTATACACTGTATACTGTAATAGTTCATTTGAAGCACAGGAATTTGACATGAAGCCTGACCTAGTTGCTTGATTAAGCCCTTGGAGGAAGATAACTCCAGGTGTACAGGTGCTGGTTTGGGCACAAGAACAGATAGGTTTCACTTTTGCCTTCCACGTTACATGAACTACCATTTGCAGTTTCATTCTATGTATTGTTTTATGTATGTATAATATATAACACATTATATAATATATATTATATATACATATTTTGAACAGACAAGACTTTGTCAGGTGGAAAGAAAGGCACCAAGGACCTTCTCGTACACTTGTTCAATTGCCACTAGCCCAGGCCATCACGCGTGGACAGACCGTGGTGGACTGCTGGATGGTTTCGCTTGGGTGCAGTGTCTCCGGGCTGGCTCTGGAGGTATTCAAAAGAACACAATATCATGTTTTCGGCTAGTGGATAACTTCAAGACTTCCCACTTCTCTTGAGCACCAAGACATGTGATTTGCTATTTGAATCTATTTGATTACAGACTTTCAACACTTTAAAGTGAGTTGAATAATGTCCCCTGTCACTCTTGCCTCGAATCCCAAAGACTTTCTTTTTGCTAATCCGCATGGGTTCAACATTGCGCTTGGAATGTGATGCAACAGCTTTGAGGGGGAAGAAGTAATTTGGCCTGAAGCCACAGCTTAGGTCACAAGTCATTGAAGAAACATCCGGCCTTCGCATTTGCTTTTGACACGTTTCGCTTGACGAAGATACGAAAGGTGGAATCATCCTGTTTTGGTGTCCAAAGGTGATCCCTAAGTAGTGTAGGGTAGTCCAGCCAGGACACCCAAACAGGATGAGTTTTACATGATGACAGCATGCCTGACATGTACCTTTCTCAAGCAGTAGTTGGACCCTCCATTTGTGAGCCAGTCATTTTCAACTACACAGCCCCTCCGTCACTAGATGGTTTGCAGCTTTTGTAAGACCATGGGTTGTGTCAGTGGTGTCTATCTAAAAGAGCGTCAGGGTCTATCTATGTCTATCTTCAGCTTTTAAAAAAAAGCACTTTCCGTTTGGAACCCGCTCCGACCCCCCTCGGCCACTTGCTTCTTTGGCCCGAACGTCCGCGCGCAAGCGACCCCGACAGGACTGGGGCACGTGCTTTGATGGCGCTCATCGTCCAAAGCACCTGCGCTGGGTCGAGGAGGTGATTGGGTGATCGACGGGCGAAGCCGGGCCTGCAGCTGAAGCACGTGTTTGAAATCCATTTGATGTCCTTTTGTGTGGACGGTCACTCCTATCTCCTATGTATATATGGGTTGCTCCTTGGTTCAATTGGTGTGGTGTTTGGAGGAAATGTTTTTGGTGTTTGATGGAGTTTGACCTATGGCAAGCTGATTGCGAAGGCCCCGGACATCCAAGCACCCATGGCTCATGCTTCCAGAGACGGCTTTTTCACCGAACACCGAAGACCAGAGGTTTCTGCCCCGAAGACTTAAGGGTGGACCAAAACCAACCACACACCCAAGAAATCCCAAGAATCCCACTGTCGATCACCACCCCCGTATCCGCCCTTGTTCTCAAGGGCAAGGGAAGGCTTTTTTGCATGTGGATTAGTTGCGCTAAGATCGAGGATCCTCAACAAGTCCAACTAGCTTGAAGATGTCTAGGCACAAGCACTATATATGACCTTTTTTGGGGGAGGAGCGAAAAGAGGTGTTCACTCGCAGCCCCAGATACCAACGATTCTTGGTGGTCAATGGACAACCCCGAGTGGACGCAGCAGGTGACCTCCGTCCATCGACACCTGTGTGTTTTTTTTTTTCTGGTGGAGTTTCTCACAAGGTGTGAAGAGGATCCACTGAAACCGTTTGGAGGTCTCTACAGGCTGCGTGTGGTGTTCGTGTTTGTGGACTGTAGTCACTGATAGTCACTGTAGTTTGTTAATGAAGGGAATCATCAAAACGCAACCCATGAGCATTCTATAGTGCATTCTATGTGTATTATGTTTGCAGTGCAAGGGCTGGCTTTGAACCCAAGCACCTCATTCTGGTTCTCGTGGCTCGTGGTGGCAAACTTTTGCTCAAAGCATTGGTACGGCTACGCCGTTTTGTTGCAGAAAATGCTGCACAACTGTTCAACTCTGTAGTGCGATCCACTATGAGCTATGAAGGCAGTCACAAAGGGACCTACATACATGCGGGCCTGTCGGCTAGACTCCTTAGCCGTGGAATTATGTGTTGGTACCAAGCTAGCTTAATGTTCACAAGCCGGCCATTTGGCTAGCCTTATGCTTTTCATAGCTTTGCTGATCATTTGGTCAGCCCTTTCTACGACCATGAACTCAGCCACGACCAGCCCACGACCTGACTTTGCAACCTGCTTCAGCGTGCTGTCGTCTTCACTGTGTCCTCCCCTGCGTCCCGCCCTGCGTGTCCATGGCGGGCGCTATGCTGGCGGGCAGAGGGCCAAGGCCTGGAAGATTGCATCGTCCCACTGGATGAATCACTCAGACATACATCAGCACATGCACTTGCATTTTGTTGTGGAATGTTGTAAGCTAAGCCCTTAGGTTTGCATCGTTTTTTTTGTTTGATCGCTGCTTGAATGTCTATATAACTGTGTTCCCGGCTTTTTTTCCGGTCAAGAAAGGAATGTTCCCGGTACCTTTAGAACTTTCGTTCCTCCTGTAATGCATATTTAGCTATATATTAATACAAGCAGGCCAAGTACCACACCTGATGTTGCCGGGTCACCAACACTTCCAACAAAAGCAACCCCAGTGACCTGCCCCTCCAATTTCACACACTTCCATGGGTTCCAAGCCATGTTTTAGTTGATCAAACAGGGTCTTCAGCCGAATCCAAAGCACCTGGTCCTAGCAGTCCATCCGAGCCACCCGACGTCCTGAGACATCACTCACTCGGAGCGGAGACATCACTCACTCACTGGACCCCCAGTGACGGGTGAAAGACCCCCAGGGACCCTGGAACCGGATAGGTGTTGCTTTTCCCTTCCGTGAACGCGGAACGCGGCGATCCAGGTCTGAAAGAGTCGACGGACCGGGTCTGTTTATTGGAACAGGTCTGACCTTCTGGGGGGGGAAGGTGTTTTATTGTTTTTCTTAATGAAGAAGAGTCGACTCATTAGTCCAACTGATTCTCCAAAACCCTAGATCGGATCCTTGGGATTGAGTATCAACCGCCTTTTGCTACCCAGGCTCCTCATGGGGGCCTGGTGGGCAGCTGAGCGGTGGTTTGGAGTGTTCATGCCATCCACGAGGAGGTCATGAAACTCTGGATGTCCTATTTGACGATTCTAAAGCCCTCACAGGGTCTCTGTGGGTACCTTAAGGTCTCTGTGGGTACTCAGAGCGAACATGTAGATGGATGTGTTCCGCTATGGATTCCGGCGGATCACATGTGGATGAAGCAAGGATGTTGTACAGGTTGATAACTTGAGAACCACGCATTCATTCAATAGTTGGCCCTTCATTCTAGAACAGAGGTTTGGAAAGTGAACATGAGGAGCCGAAGAACCAACCATGATGATCTTTGTTGATTTGCATGTGCCAACAATATGGACCTCAACCCAAAACATACATGACCAACAACAGAAAGCATATGCCCTTTAGGACCTGCACCTTGTGACTGATACTGTTGTCAGGCCATCCTGCAATATCCTGCACCAGCTGAGAAGCATCCGGGACCTCTGATGCTGTATATGCTGTATATATACCACCAAAAGTATTCCGTAATGCTGGTACTCCATGGCGACTGAGGCGAACGCTGCCCCGAACTCACCAGCTGTGGGATGGTGGTCTCTTCGGTCGGTGCCGGTGATCACGTCCGACGTCCAAGGCTTCTCCACGTGGCATCCGCGAGCGAGTTGATGCACGGGTGGAAGGACCCCGGTATCATAATACAAGAGGATGCACTAGATGTCGTGGTGTCGGTGTGTTGTGTCGCGCTTGGTGTCCGTGAAATCAACACACGACACATCCAGTGAAGTCACTGTCCCTTGAAGCGAACATGTTTCTGGGGATTGGAGGCCATCGCATCAACAGCCATACACGATGTGTTTTCTTCGCATAGCGACTGTAGGAGCTCCATGACCACAAGACCGGCAGGCAGGAGCGTAGCGGCTGTGGCATTGGTTCGATACTTTTCATGATAAGTTTCAGGGAGAGTTGGAGGGATAGCATATCCTCAGGATGGTTTGGATGCCAAAGTACTTCTAGAGATTGGTCATTGGAGTCGTTGAGGCTTCCTGGACAAAGAATGGTCCTGGACCCTCTGAATATGTTGTGTCAAACTGTCAAACCTTTTGGATCCTTTTGGTAGTTACACGCAATTGTTTCTTCTCTTCTGAGGCCCCTTCTGAGCGTTTTCGTCGGCCTTCTCAAAGATCAGAAACAGAGGGATGTGAGGCTGTCAGGCTAGGGATCGGCTCAAAGCATAGCTTGCTAGAGAAGGAACAGCACTTTGTCCATAGAGATTCGTGCAAGCCAAGGTAGAAGGAATCATTTCACCATGTTTTTTTCATGTGGTAATTTATTTTGATTTCGTAAGGTCACGAATTTGCAAGGCCAGCTGGAATTATTTATTGATATTTCTTGCAAGGTTTTTAATATTTTGCTAAGCTGTCCATGTTTTCTTGACAAGCCGGCTGGTCGGTTGGATCGGCTGAGTATAAGTCTTCCGCGTGAATTTTGGATAGTTTCTCGACTGGATAAAGTACGATTGGTTTTGGATACTTGGAGCAAGGAAGGGATGTGTTGGTGGACAGTTCTTCCTCATTTGCGTGTCATTGTGCAGTTGTTGTTGCTGCTTTTTGATCCAATATCTTCCAACCACTGAAGGTTTAAGGACCCATTTACTGTATTTACTCCTTGTGTTTTGTTGGAAGATCATGACGTTCCTTCGTTGCCGCCACACGGATGCAGTTTGATCATGTTTGATCCACAAATGCATCGTTTCGGCCGTTTTGGGGCTCACTTCGACTCACCTCATCTTCGGCATCGCCAGGGTCTACTACTTGGATACGCAGACTGGGCACACAGTGCCTAGACCAGACTGGATTTGCTCGGTCGACCAGACGCAGAGACTGTTTGTATAAGGTGGAGGCCACCGCTACTAGTCGCTTGTAGGGTGGAGGCCATCGCTATTGGGGTGGAGGCCATCGCTTGTAGGTTGGAGGCCATCGCTATTAGAAACAAGGAAAAAAGAAAAGGAAGAAGGGTCGTTGGTTTTCAGCGACCGATGGTCTCTATGAAGCCATTGTCTTAAACATTTGGTCACTGGTGATGCGTGTTGAGGTTTAAAACATAAATGGCCATTTTGGGAGGTCGTATCATGGCATAAGCCAGCCAGCGGTCATGGGATGCCCGACACTCCAAATATAATTTGCCATTAGGCTAGGCCGTGTATCACTACCCAAGACTTGAGCCCTTGTAAAGTGTTTGTTAGTAAGTTTCTAGGTTGTTTCTGGTTTTATTCTTTCCAAGATGATGTTCTTTCAAAGAGCCCAGATCTTTGCCACACATAGTGCACAGACTGATTTTTGGATTGCCCGTTCTGTTGAAGTTAGCTGCCACTCGTCTCTCCACACCGGCCAGTCGTGGCAGCCAATGTTTGCACCACAAGTTCGAGGCTCTTGTGCTAGCGCCCCTCAGCAGCACCACACCCGTAGCCTCCACGGGACAACCATCGTAGCCTCTATAGTCGTAGAGGCTTCACCTCGGGCTCCAAGTGCACTGGCCGCCACTGATTCAGAGGGTTTGGAACGTGATCATGTCCATGTTATATGTCACGTTCTTAATACATGTTAGGTTTGGGTGCAAAAGTTTCTCCACCCGGCTTTGTGCTTGCAAGAGGTCCTCTGGAGAGCTTTGGATAATTACAACACTCAACAGACTACCAACAAGAAACACCAAGCACTTCCTACTGCTGCTGCGTTTCCAAGACATTGTTTGGTTTGCTGGTCAGATGTTGGTACTGGTAGTCGAGTCGCTGTGGCTCAGGAAGAAGATGGCCAAAGACTAGAGAGGTCATAAATTATGTCACTATAGGATCTCATTCTAGAGTTGATCTGGCACAGTGTATTGACCAAGTTTCTTTGGCTTTACACCCAAGCCGCTTCCAATACTCATGTATGTAATTCTGAACTTCACTTTGTTGCCCTGTGTCATACTGCAGACTCATCCACCTTGTGCAGTTGGATCACAGCCCCTTTTTCAATATTCAAAATGTTTGAAGGAACCTCTGAGATTAGGGTGCATCTTGGAAATCCGGGTGACCACTTTCACACTCGTCTGGTCATCTCTGACCAGACGAAGGCATCGGTGTCGTCCTCCCGATGTCGGTCGATGGCATCGGTGTTGTCCTCCCCGGACGTCATCTCAGGTTTGTGAATCCCGGACCTGTGCGGATTGGCTCATCCAGAAGGAAAGCATGGAGACGGAACGAACGGAACGTCGGACACAGACACGACACCGAGGGGCGAAACACCGCAGAAGCCCAGGACTCGAATTCAATTCTCCGGCTCAGACGATCCGATGGACGCCATATCTTCCACTTGGAAAGACTACACCAAGACTATACAATGAGATGTTGATTTGGGGGCATTGCAGCATGCCGCATGCTCACAAGTGCTGTACTGTTGGGAGAACTGCTGTTGGGAGAACTGCTGTTCTTCGATGTTCCACATCGCCTCCCAAACCGCGTGATCACGGAGACAATTCCACCGAACCTCTCCTCCGCTTGCTTTGCGGTCCGAAGGCTCATGGCTTTTACACGGTGGAGCCAAAGGTGCAATGTGATCTGGCGCACATCGCCCTCTTGAAGGCGATCGACCCACTTCAACCAGAGCGGTAACCAGCGCGCGGTGCGGTACACGTTTTGACCTCGTGGGTGCGACGAACGATGGCGGGGGGAGACGAGGAATGGTTTCCTGCTGACAGATGCCCAGAAAAGTTTGGATCCCTATAGACTTCCATGGTTCTAAGGCTCCAGGCTTTGAACGTGCTCCTTCTGGTTAGGTTTTAGGGCCAGCCTGGTGGTTGGTGGTTCCGCGATACGGATCGCGTGTACGACCGGAGTGCCGTTGCCAGGCTTGTCCGCAGACCTGCTGGAGAACTCAGCGAGGGACGATCGGTGCACCGGGGAAAATGGGATGCGGCCACCGTGGAACAATGATGAACATGCGAACATCCTGTGAAAAAAAAGATACCAGATGTCATACTCGTACCACAGTTTTTCTACACCAGCCAAAGTATAGAATATAGAATCAAATTATGCACATTAAGAAACACATTAGGCTTGGGCCGGCAGGGCTGGCCTGGCTCAGACCGTTCATGTTGGGCAGACAAAGCAGACAAACTCGTCTCTCAGATGATTTGCAGACATTGTATCCGAGATGGCCTGGTACATCAAAAAGTGTCCACCAACAGGATTAAGAAGTCTTAAGTGCTGTGCAATACACGAGCTTCCCCAGCACTCTGACTACAAATCATGAAACAATCATAGAAGTGGAAGACCACATGTTTCTACAACAAAATGGTCATCCAACAGCTATTGTCATGTTTCTACAGTCTGTACTGTACATGATTATTTGCAGGGGATGTATTGCATGTTGTGAGTCTCGGAATTCTGTGCCCAAGAAACATCCAGGAATCGTATCCTCAATCCTCATAGAGGAACAGAAGGATGGCAATGTCTTTTCTGCCAAATGGATGTGACACTGTCTTCAGTGTTTCTAGCTGCTTGATGTTCCTACCCCGGACTTCTTTGCTTTGATATGTTGGACGACCTTTGGTACCACACTCCCTCATGCATCCTGATGCACCATACCACCTCCACAACCCGCCATTAGGTCGAAACTGCATGGTGGCGGATACGACCTGTGGCACCGTGGAGCCCCTCTTCGATTGCAAGGCGGTCACGAAGGTTACGGTGGTCACCGGGCGGAAAAAGCGAGAGTTTTGCGTGGCGCAACTGCATGACTGAGTGTTTTCTGTTCATCGTCGCGTTTCTGCGGCGCAAATCTCATGAAGTGAGGTTCAAAAACAATTGATCTATCAGGGTACTTGGACATTGGACGTGGTGACACAACGCCAAAACTTAACTTAGTTATGATGTCATGAATTCCTAAGGTTATGAGTCCTCCAAATTCCCATGATCTGACAGTGGGGAGACTAGACGTTGACCATCCCTCATGCCACTAGACGTTGAGCAAAACAACAGCTAACCCTCCAATCAGCTGGCATTTTCTCAGTGAACGCCGTTGTCAGGAATCCAGCCGTTTAGGTCAGGAATCCAGCCGTTTAGGTCAGGAATCCCTGTTAACTTTCCAAACCAAAAGTAAAATAAAGAAAAACACAGCTCGAGCAACTCCAAAACATGTCCAGTGCTTAGCTGCACTCGTGGTGTTGGGCTGAGTGTAGTAAGTTGCTTTTGTAAGACGACTGTTTCCTTGGATAAGTCAATGCCATCTATTCGTGCATGGCATTCCTTTGAGAACCCAGCGTTGGCCACGGGGCGCTTTCCCCTTTGAGATGATGGGAAGGCCTTTGAACCACCAGGTAAACCAGCGACGGCGGATAGATACGCATGAAATCTATTGAAGCTCTCCTGTGGAACAACAAACAAACCAACAAATGACCCCCTTTTTGTGGCCTTCCAATTCGCGCAAAAGCCTTCGCACATGCGCAGCACACGGGGGAAGAAGAGATGCGCGGCTGGAGTGAAACGAAGCTTCGCCCGGGCACCACAGTTGGGCGTCAGTGGGCATCGGAAGTTTGTCACAAGCTGGTCGGATATGTGGACAGAAGGAGAGGAGATCCAGGAGAGCTGAGAAGGAGCGAGGTTTAAAGAGTGAAGGTATTTGGGATTATTTGGGGGTCCTGTCACTGAATGTGAGGAAAAGATGCGGCAACTCATTGACTTCATGATTGGTTCATGGATTGATTGAGGGTAGATATAGGAAAACGGGCGCGCTGGACAGAGGAACTGTTTCAAATACCCATGTTATGTTTGATTCAAGGATTCAAAAGCAACTCACTTCGATTCTTGGAAGTGCAGAGGGCAATATTGATCATCATGTCTCGCGGAACATCCTGGAACAATAAACGAAAGAACACAGGGAACTTTCTATTTGCACGCTATTAGGTTGGAGGCCATCGCTTCTAGGTTTGAGGCCATCGCTTCTAGGTTTGAGGCCATCGTTTCTAGGTTGGAGGCCATCGCTAGTAGGTTGGAGACCTTCGCTATTGGGTTGGAGGCCATCGCAAGTATGTTGGAGGCCATTGCTATTAGGTTGGAGGCCATTGCTAGTAGGTTGGAGGCCATTGCTATTAGGTTGGAGGCCATAGCTATTAGGTTGGAGGCCATAGCTATTAGGTTGGAGGCCATCACTTCTAGGTTGGAGGCTGTCGTTAGCAGGTTGGAGGCCTTCGCTAGGAGGTTGGAGGCCAACGCTATGACCTTAACGGCCATCGCTTCTAGGTTGGAGGCCATCGCTATTAGTAACTCAACAAGTGTTCACAGTCTCCAGGTTTCAGAGTTCCTTTTTCAGTCAAGGCTGGTGTTGTGAGCATCGCAGCACTGGATGTGGTGTACATCAGAAGTTACCATCACCATTTGCCCGGCATCTCAGGTGTCGTGGGTGTTCCATGAAGGAACCATGCCGGTCCATGGTTGCAGTCTGCAGATTTTGTGAGCTCATCTTGCTATTCAGGGCATTCAGCATCCAGATCTAGTTGGGGCAACTACACTATACCCAGGTAGGACACCTGACTAAGTACTTCCAGAGAATGGTCAAACTGCGGCCTTATGGGACATCTGATTCGGATGGTCCTGGACCAGCCTTTGCGGCGGGTGTTTTTCTTTCCCTGTAACTGTCACGCCTTTTGAGACCGAATCGGAGCTGTGCGTATAAAAGTGTGGCAAAGAAGTGGACAGATCAAATTACAAGGTTGACATGAATTTGGAGATGATCCCCTTCTGGGAGGATAACGGAATACTGGCAGGTTTTTATTGTTCAACTCTTGTGGAAGCCAAATGGGACACACAGAATCTGTCCCGTGTTTAGGCAGCCCCAATAATTTATTTGATTCCTTTTGCAGATGGCCAGCAATTTTGGAGAGTACTGGAATACCTTTGGGGTAGGTATATTACCGTAAACCTATAGGAAGACCCAGTACTTGTAAATTCATTCCTGTACAGTAAAGCCTTTGTTCCACAAACCTTTGCATTTACAAGTCATTCCAATGCTTTTCTATCCAAGAACCTGTAAACAGCACCATATTATGCACTACTGGTACCACCCAATCAAAACAGCGGAATCCAGCGGACTCCGCAGAGCTCGGAGCTCTTCATCCCCTTCGTCCCTCTTCGAACCGCAGAAGTCCAGAAGTCCTCAGCTCCGAGGACTGCGCGGCGGGGCGACGCGGTGCCTGGAGCACGGGAAAGGCCTCCTGGTGTTGCTGGGGGACTCAGGCCATGACGGAGGCCATGACGAGGCCGAGACAACTTGTCGAGGCCATTTGTTGTGGCCGAGACAAGATGTGCTGTGGCACACCAGATGATGATGTGGTTGTTTTGAGGAGGCACCATTACCATGGAAGATGTAAGATGTCAACTAATCAAAGTGTACACACAGATTGAAATTGATGTTGTAGCTGTTTCTTGTAGTTCTTGTTTATGCTGACATTCTAAGTTGCCTATTATTTGCACAACAAGTTCCATAATTACTGTGTCTTCCGAAGGCAGTTTATGCCTTCCGGCGGTGACTGTTGTCACACTGCTGAGTTGCTGATCGCTTGCCAGTGGTACTTCCGGAAGCTTAATCCGAAACAACAGCAACATGTGAATTGGTAGGTAATTGGACCCTTCACACCTACATAACCGTGTCTCCTTCCTCACCGTACCTCAGAGGGTATGTGGATTCTTCCATCAACCCATTCGCATGCGCATTCGCGCAGCCAATCCGATGGTACGGACCAACCGAGGGTCGTTGGCCGATCCATTGGAGCCATGCTTCTTTTTCACTGGTGAACATCTCAAAAGGTGGACTGAGCTGCAGCCTGCGATGGTGAAAAACACTAGAACTTCTAGTTAATGAAAGGTTTTTTTTTCAGGTAGAAGACGTTTTGGAGCCTTGAAAGGGTAGGATGACAATCCCCGATTCAGCCCCTTTTCGGACCAAACACCAGAGGCAATGTCGAGCACAAGGGATGCCTCTTCAACTGCTACTCGCAGCAGGGCAGCCCAACCTAACAGCAGGGAGCCTTCGCCAAGGTATCTCAACACCTTCAATGTCATGTCCAGCTAGTCTCATGGCGGCCAAATGCGATTCTCTATCTAGATTTGCAAAGACCACTCTAATCGAATATGTTTGGATTTGATGTGCCGGTGATGGGGCTGACAGCGCATTCTCACCTGGTGTTCAGTGTTGACCAATGATCGATAAACATCCTCTCCGAAAGTTTGTCAACCAGATGCAATCAAGTATTATGATCATGTTGCACAAGTTGCACATGCACCGTTTTCCCAGACATGATGAAAGTGTCCAAGCATTTCTTGAAGTCTTGGCGTATATGACGATACCAAGAGCAATGTTGAAAGGTTTTGACGACATCGAGAACGCGTGCCATGTGGTCGCCCACGCCCAGGTTGGAGCAATGGGAGCACAAATGGTCGCTCAAAAAGAGGCCGTGCGACCCAGCGATAACCATCAATTTGGGGATTCATTTCCTCACTCAAGAATGAACAGATGGACCAAACATGTTCACCTTTCGTTTCCAGGGAAACTGAGGGTCAGGAGGCGCTGCCTGCAGACGAGCGGAGTATGTGCCCCAAATCCATAAAAACACTCTTAGAGTGCACCCTCTGTATATTCCAATTCTGGTTCTTGACAAACGGTTTGTTGGCCTTTCTGAAATGGGCCTTCTTCACCAGCCTCTGAAGTCAAGCGCTGGTGTAGCAAAACATAAAGGACTTCAGCGGCCAACATCGGATCTTTGGGGAGATGCACCTCCTTCAGCAGCTGGCGGCCGACCGTTGAAGATCCATGGCCGCCGACCCCGAATCTGAGACGCAGAATTAATGATTGAGGCCCAAGCAGAAACATGTGGTTGACATGGAATCCCTAGGGATCCACATACCTTATCAGGAGGTACGACTGGGCCCTCCAAGCCTACATAATAGTCTCCAATCACCTTCTGAGAAGGTACTTGGATCCCTAGGGAATTGGAACATGTGTCCATTCGAGGTGCCTTTGTGCTCCTCCCGACGAGACAACGGTCACCACTTACCCACTACACATGCTTTAGAGGAGATTTTGCCAGGTGGTTCTTGTGACGTAAGCACAAACAGATTTTGCTTTAACCTCACCTGCAGAAAAGGTGGCATAGACCCGTTTTACAAACGGGGCTTTGTGAAGCACAAATGAGCTTTGCAGGTGGTGTGGCTGTCGGGGCAAAGCATTGCGTGCAATCTGTGTTTTTCTTGTTTTGTTTCTTTGTTCCGCAGGTCATGGTGTTGTGCCCATCAGAAGTTGGGCTGCATCCACCCGGGGCAGTTTGACTGCACTGAGGCTGACGAGGGGGTGAAAAGGGGTAACTGGTGGGGTAGAATGGAGGGGAACAGGGTAGGCCAGAGCAGTGTGTGTTGTGAAGGTTTACTGTCGGACCGACATCAAGTTGACAGATGACCTTTCACAGCTGCTGAACAGGGCACCCGTTGCAGTTGCGTATGTTGCACGCTTTCAAGAAGGGCAACTTGTCTTGAGGCAAGGCCTTCATGTTGTTTCACAATATCGTTATAAACATTTTCGCGCTGGTCGCTTCAATTGGTTGTTGTGTTGCTCACCTGACTCGATGCTTCACGCCGCTCCATGCAGTTCCCGTCGGAGATGTCCTGGGACAACCTGACATGCGCAAAGAAGAGCACCGGTTTAGGTGTGCACGGTTCCAAGGTACCAGGCCCTGTTCGAAGTACCGGGCTGATTCCCTCGATTTGGATCGATGGAAATCCATGCAATCCTGGGCCAGACAAAGGGAAGGGGTTTTGATGGATTTGCGTTTTGGGTGATTTGGTGATTATTCAGGAGTCCCCATCGGGGGTCCCCACCAGAGTATGATGAACCCTGATCACGAGCCGGGTGGTGGATTCATGTTCCTTCATGTTGTTTGACCTGGTGTGTTGTTCGAAACACATTGGTGTTGGAGCTCCAGCTGTTGACCCACCCCAATATCCTAAGGAACCAACCTCTCCGCTTTTGGGCCACCGGTGCAGGGAGTGCTGGATGCCCGGCACTGGTCCAAGGCGAGGACGAAGAGCTTCGTCGAATCTTTTTTTTTCGGGGCCAAACAGAGAGGTTCTTTTCTCCAGTGGGTACTCGTTGTGTTGTTGAGTGAAAAAAGGAGGGAATGTAGAATCCTTGGAGCTGTTCGGAGAGTGTTCCCTCTGTCGTGGGTGTCCCGTTTTCAAAAGAAGCTCAGCAGCTCCTTTTGAAGACGGGCTCAGCAGCTTCTTTTGAAAACGGGCACAAAGCCTTGAGCAAAACGGAGGGAGGAAGACATTTTGTGCGTTATCAAGTCCTGCTGTCATTTGTCGTGTTTGTTTTGATCCGAGTTTCATGTCATTCATTCATTCATTCCGGAGAATCAGACGTGTATATGAGTGTTTGTCCATTGCAATTGAAATCATTCAGCAACATTAAGAAGTGAATGACAACGGTTCGGACAGGGGGATGTTCACAGGGGAACTCACCAAAGTGTGTGGCGAGAAAACAGTATCATGACAACACGAGAGAGAGATAGAGAGAGAGGGGGAGTGTGCAAAAACTCATGACCGGCAATGTCGCAGTCTAGGGAACTCAGTCGTTGCCGACACCAGCACCCTCCCTTCAATTAGTGTTTTGAGGTGATAAGACCCAGAATGCATTTGCATTTCTCCGTCATCTCATAAGACCAGCTGGACCAAACATCAGTCGTGGAAAGTCACCTGAACTTTGCCAGCGCCTTCCATATATCCATCGACCTGGCACAGAGTAGACACGAGTGGACACACCGTCGGCGTCCGTCTCCTTCGCTGCAGTGGTTGCACAACAAACCATTCAAGGCTGCTTCGTCGCAGTCTCCTCCGCTGCTACCTCAGGTGAGGCGTCACTACTGCTGCCACATGGAGGGGATAGGCCCGGCGACGGCCGTTGAAGGACCAACCGAACGGTGGAGGAGCGACGCGGAGAGCTACATGGAGTTGGCCGAAGTACTGAGTTGGCTTGGTATTGTTGGCTTGGTGAGGTTTCTTTCTAGGAGACCATCACATGCAGGAATTGGCTGTTTGTGGCACCATTCTTGTCATGAGAATTTAGCCAGACCATTATAAAGAGGATTATTAAGTCATTGCCCCACCCGGCATAAACTGCCACAAAGCCAACAAATCCGGCTGCTCACCCAAGTCAAAAACATTCAAAAACTGTGAGTTCGACCACTTGTAGAAGAGATCCAATTCTTGGTTGCTTGTAGGAATCCCTGCTACAGCTGTTGCGGTCGTCAGCTTGAACTGGTTGAAAGCACCAACCCATCGACACGGACGTTTGTAGGGACGTCGTGACACGGAGCACCTCTCGTGGGACGGAAGAATTTCACAACCCCGATCGAGTTGGGTGTGGCGATCGAGTTGGCGGAGGCTGCGAAGCTGGAGGGCATCACACGAAGGAGCACACAAGGCAGAGTCGGAAAGCGATCTCGCCACATCCCACGCAGGAGCTGGAGCAGGATGGGGGGAGATCAGTAGGGGGTTGTAGGGGTGACGTACAGTGTGTTGATGTGTGTTGATTCCGTGGCAGTGGTTTGAATCAAGAAGGTGGAGGCGTAAGCATTATTACATTATTTGCAGTTTTACTTGCTCAAGGCTTCAAGGCTCCAAGCCATAACTTACTACCCACTCACGGGGAAACTGCCACAAATTCCACTAAACAACGATGCATTATGATGCCATAAAGAGACCACCAGCGAACAGGCACGTGCGCCCGCTCGCACTCACTCCGTTGATCTCGGAGGCGGCCGGAGAACCAGACAAGCTGGTCATGCACTGGCAGGCACTGGCGACAATCGCGCGAAGACCGGGTGAAGCCGCGCGGGACATCATTATTTTATTGAGCCAGTTGAGCGCTTCGCATTCTGCCTCGGAGTGGAAGCGAAGAAACCCTCAAGCAGGCGAATGCCAACAAGAAAATGTCCAACAGTGGATGTTTTTGGTGGAGCAATACAGACTCATGAATGACTCATGAAATAAACTAAGTGTACTCATGGGTGGTTCTGTTCACCAGTGCCCACATGAGAAACATCGGAACTCGAGGAGACTTGTTTGACTTTTTGGGTAACACTTTGGGTTGCATTACGAGCATTTGCTCCAATGGTATCTCAGGACAGGTGACAGATCAAGGAACACACCGTACTTTAATTCCCTTTTCAGATCATTCGTGGGTTGTCGGCTTTGCTCCAGTGGCAGTTGTTGATGCCCGCAAAAATTCTAGACTGAAGAGTGATTTTGGAACTCTCCAATTGGGAGACTTGCCTTCGAAAGTCGGAGCGGTTCACGTTGAGCGCTTCACGTTGAGCTTCTGAAGCCCAGTGGGCCGCCGTCGCCAGGAATTGGCCCCTGGACAAGATCAAGCTGCTTGGCGCTCTTGGCGCTCGCGCTGCGTCCGAGGTCCTTGGGAGGTCCATGAAAGCTGATCAAGATTGATCAAGGCTCCGTCCAGAAAAAAACCCGGGGTTTCCGTGGCCTGCAACTAGCTGGTTTCGATGGTGATTTTACAATAGTTTACACATATGTTACCTGACTTTTACAATGTTTTTAAAGACATATTTTAACAACATCCAATGGGCGATATGCGACCAACAGCCGTGTATAGGGCCGTTTCCCATGGTCCGCTGCATCAGTTTTTGGGAGCTCCACGCCACGCCATGACCCCCGAGCCGGCGGGCATCCCCGAGAGCCTCGCGTGAACCGGCCACCCCGCCGGCGAAGCTGGCACCCAGGTGGTGTTGCCTCACCGAAAAGGTGGGCCGTGCCCTGAGTGATCTCGGGCCCTCTGCGCGTCGAAGGGGATCGCCGGAGTGATTCGTAGTAATTGGTACATCTTACGCATCTTAGGTACGATATAATTTACATATGATCATATTGGTTTTGTGCGGGACGTCAATGATCTCTCATCCAAACACCATGTCCAACACTTGATTGAGGCCGTCATTGATGAGGCACATCCAGTTAACTAGGGGTGGTGGGCGGGATCCAGCGATGTGACTTCCTGGAGCAGATAGAACATCTGTAGAAGTGGAGCAGCAGAACTCGTTTTGGACACAACCAATCCTCTTCCATGTGTTACGATGTTGGAACTGAACCAAACGTCAACATGTGTTTGCTTTGAAATGTGATCTGGGTTTGACAACTCTTGGCTTCACTGCAGTACGTGTCAACTCCTGTTGTTTTTCCTGCAACCAGCACCACCTTGGATTGCAGTTGACCAACCACCATGGAATGTGAACCCCCTAACATTCGGCACCAGTGCGCCCCAAACTGGCCCAGAGCCCGAAGAAAAGCAGACTACTTTCGCGGTTTTGGAAACATTTGAAAGACTTATTGACTATTCTAGGTTGGAGGCCATCGCTATTAGGTTAGGTTGGAGGCTATTTTGACGGCGATTAGGCCGTAGCACCTCGTGGTGGTTTCGGAAGTAGAGCCTGAGGTTGCAAGTTGTTGTCTTCGACGACCACGACGACCTTTCCAGACCTCTTTGACTGCCAGGTGCGTCATGTTTGGGCGAGGTTGGGCAATTGGAACAAATTGGAACTTATTAAATTGTAGACTGTTGATTAATCAACCAACACCGTTTTTTCCCATCCAAATACTTTTTGATCGAGAGTCCACATTGCTGTACTGGCTGTACCCTTTTTTGTGGAGAAATTGTGGACTTCATTTGTTGTGTGAGTGTGAGATGCTTTGTCATGTGGGTGCAAGACTTGCATGGCTGATGCACACGTTCGTGGGGTTGTTGCTGGTTTACACCACCGACTCCCTGGCTGCTTTGTGTGGCAACCCATTCTGAAGTGCTGGGCAAGATGTAGCCCTATTGGAACCAGCAGGGCGCCATATGGTGCCATACACTGGAACAGGTGAGGACAGACGAAAGTCAGGTCAGGGTCGTCCACCGACTGTCACCACACCGTGCAGCGACGACGACGCCACGCCTTCGAAGCGCCGACTGCGCAGGCAGGCTTAAAGACCTGGGAGCAGGGCTGGTCTCGCCGAAAGAAGGCGCAGCGGCGATAAAGCGTTGCGTTTCGTTTCAACATCGCTCGATGGAGCAGGGTGGTTTTTGTTGAGGTGTGTTAAACAGACCTAAGATCTACATGTGGCTCCCCGAAGCACCCCAAAATATCCCAACATTATTTTCTTATAAAGGGTTCTCTATGATCGAGTTGCCAATTGAAGTGCGGTGGTTTGAAATGGTCGACCTCAAACATATTATGACCTTTAGTCTTGAAACAGAGTAATAATAGTGTTGCTTTTTTGTTGCGCAAGCTTTGAATCATGCTTCTGCTTCTGTCAGAAGCCGGTGATTTTACCACAGAATGAGCGTCACTTGTAGGGCTTTGAACATCTTTGTCAAAGCAATTAATTATTGACTGTTTTTAAATGTGTTTGATATCAACAATGATGGTACTTCTGAGGGTACGCCCCCCATTTCATGGGCCGGTTTACTTTGACATGGGCCGAAGTATACAGAGACATTTACAGTGTCAGTGGCATTTACTTTTCGGGTCTACCGGGAGGTCTTGGACTCCGGTTTCAAAGGAACACGGACGAAGTTCCAACTCAGCCGTTCTGTTAGGATCGGGGTGCTGTTGTCGGACCCCGATCGACTCGACGGCTCGAGCTCGCGGCGGCCGGCAGATGTGGTGCTGTAAGTCCAAACACATTGGATGCCCCTTCGACTGCCGTGATCAGATGGACCAGTGGCAGGCGGGGCACGGGCGGGGACGTGCGGAGGGTTGTGCGGAGGGTTTGTGCGGGAGCGGAGTGCACAGGTTGGTTAGGTTCTATGGTTGGTTTGTTGGGGTGGTCGATGCGGTGTTGAGCACGCAATCGCCTGAATGGCGGTGAAGCTGTGTTTGGTGGGTGCTGAGCACGGATCGGCGACTTGGATCGGATGTTCAATTTGTCGCCCAGACCACTTCGTAAGCATCACACCCTTTAAGGCTTGCTGCGAACTGGGGTGCACCGAAACGGAGCTGGAAGGCACCGTAACTTGACGCTGCGAACAGGAAACACACATTGAAACACCATGAAGAACAATTTTTTGCTGACGAGAGTCGATGAAAGTCCTTCCAAACCATATTGTAAAAAGGTATACCCAAACCACTCGGCTTCCACGATGGAAGTGGACAAGCGCTCCAGTATGCCAGGGGCTACAGCATGCCATCCGCGAAATCATGTGTAGTGAGTCGGAGCTTCCAGAATGTCAAGCTGAGGAGCCTCGAGTGCGCTGACCAATGTGTGACTGGCCTGCGCTCACTCCTGTGAGTGACCTGTCGGATTCCGGTGCGGCAGCATGCAAATCATTGGAAACGCTGTCGGCTGCCGCCCGTTCTCCAACCGGTCAGTGTTGAAGCTGTCACAGGTTCGCTGGACCGCTGCGAAGAAGACCTTTTGCTGCGCCACCTTCCGTGTAGGCGCATGGTGTGCAACAAAGAAAGAAACAACATGGTGTTGGTACGAATAGCATCGAAATCCTGGAATCTTTGTTTACTGTAAGTAGCATGTTTGACTGGTTCCTGGTTCCTCAAACATCGGTCATTGGGCATCAAAACTCCTTGGCCATCACCTTCAGGCCTCCTGAAAGGTTGTTAGGAGCATGAACCTTTCTGCCCAAACTTCTTTGCATCAAAGAATCACCAACAAGCAACTCAGAATCACCTCCCCTACGCAGGTTGTGTGAGCCTGGGCACCCGGCCGGCAGCACCAGCCCCGGTGCCAGCCCCGGTGCCCTCGGAGATGGCACCGCTGCTCCAACCTCACGTGGTGACTCACGTCACGGACCACGTGGTGACGCACGTGGTGATGCAGGACACACCAGAGGTCTCATGTGGGCAGGGACGGGGAGTGCAAGGGGTTGAGGACGGGAGTGAACAGAGGGCGCACAGTGTGCCGATGCATCGCAAGTGGAGTTCTTCTGGTTGGAGGAGGGTTCAGGTCTTTCCCCTATAGAGACTTGGAGGTGCCAAGTGTTTGCACTCGGGGCGCAGCAATTTCGCAGCGGTGGACTGTGCCTTGAAAGACCCTTTCCTACATCAAACATCAGCAAGCCATACATTGACTTCCCGAAAGCTGGTTTTGGGATGTTGTTGGTCAACTCCACTAAAACCACTTGGGAAATGGGGTCAGCGGTGCCACACAACTGGTGGATCCTGACAAACACATGACTCCATTCTCGTTTGTCTTCCCCGCTTTCTACCCGGCTGGACAGACCCGACCGTGGTATACCCTTTTCCAGTTTGGGTGTCCTATAGCCACATCATGGATTTTCAGAGTCGGCGCACCTTCAGTGGTAGATCATCACAGTCCTATAATGAAATTCACCGAAACAACATATCGATAAATGTATATAAATGTTAAAAGATTCCACTTGCTCGTGCATCGGGCAACTAGTCCGGACTCGCCAACTTGCCACAGCTGAAGCGACCGAACGGATGCCTTTTTGGACCGCAAAGAACCTCCATGGCCATGGCCATGGCCCATCCGCACTCCGTCTCACTCAGGTGAGAAGTCCTGAGTTCCACTGCGACAGCAACATGGCGCTCTGGTCGCCGCAGCAGCGGCACTTTTGCTGCCACGACTATGGGGTCGGTGCCTTGCATGCCGTAGGGTGGGGAAGCGTGGGCACGACGTGCGGGCGGCGCAGGGAAGCAAAAGGCCCCATGGGTTTCACTGAACAGAATTGAACGGATGTGTCACAGAACCAGAGCTTGCGAGGGAAAACATGGCAGAAAACGCTCCCTTTGGGGAGAACCCCTGTTCTTTTTTCCTCACCGCGAATCGAGTGCCTTTGGAGTTTCAAGCTTGCTTTAGCGTTTCCTCATGAAGGTCTTGAACTTACTCAAAGACCCTAGGGCTCCTGGACTGCCTGAATTTCGGTGTTTGCGGTGGGCCCTGCCTAGGAGATGGGCCGGGAGCCGTGCAGAGCACCCCAATCCATTTAGTCACTCCAGCGTGATCGTATGAACGGTGCGATGTCTTGAAAAGTTTATCCGGGATATCGATCTGCCAGCCACTAGATCAAAAGACACAGATACAGTAGAGAACCTAGCCGCTAGCCCATCATGTTCCCTCTTTGGTTGCTTTGGGTTACTTTCTATGAAAGGTGCCCGGGTTAGTCAGCTATTATACAGGGGAAACTTGAGAGACATTTAATTCACTTGAAACTTTGTCATGGGTACAGTTCTTGACACATGATTGTTACTGATTTACTTTCAATCAACAGAAACTTTGTCATTGACATGTCATGGGTACTGTTTGATCATTGTTCTTTGCGTTGAATGCCGCTGCACACCCCGCGGTGGGGGGGGCAATGCGGATCATTCAACGATGGGTGATCAGTAGGCGATGTGGGTAGGCCAACCAACAGACCTTCTCAGTTGGGGTTCTGAACACTAAACGAAGAAACAAGGATTGTTATAATTTTAGAGGATTATCGTGGTCCCAAAAAATAGATAGAAACGGTTTCCAACGCATTTGACAGGAACTGTACTTTTTCTATCTATACTTGGGGGGGTCTATACCAGGACCCTCCAAGGGGTGCCCTGTCTGGAAGCCTATAGGTCGTGTGGGGTAGTTCAGCCAGGTCCCCTTCAAAGGTCCCGGAAACAGACCTGCAAAATACCTTTGTTTTTAAATGGAAACAGACCTGCAACATACCTTTTTTTCTGATATTCAATACTCGTACCTAAGACCTAAGAATACAAAATATCGATATTTCGGGTGGATTCCTAGGACTTGCACATACCATATTCATCCATATTCCCTTTCAGCCCTTGTACCATCGACCGATGGTTGACGGTTTGACGCGACATGCGGATGCCGCTGCTTCAAGGTTGCTTGCATACTCAACCGCTGGAGGTTCAGGTGCATCCTGAGAAGATTGATGTCCAGTACCCACAGACACATGCCCTTTGGCGAGATTACTTGAAGCTTGTGCCGTTTCAACAAGAAGCAGCGAGAACGGCAAGAACAAACAATAGAACGTGAAAGAAGCTTCCGTTCGAAAGACATGAAACTTCTTCACTAGGCATTGATTTGGGGGGTTAATGTTGTACTGTAACCTCAGGCCTCATGACATTTGCTAGTGGGCCAGTGGAAATTCTCACTCACCATCATGGTACACTTAATTACTTCAACAGCATAAAGACAACTTCCTTCTCCACTTCCGTCTATCCAGAGATAAGTGGAAAAGGTGGAGTATGTAGGTTGCGCGCCAATTGTGCGTTTCTGTTCATCGTCAAGAGAGACACGTTACAAAGAGGATCTTCAGCCATTTACTGCAGCTTCCCACTGCGCAAGCCCTGCTTGAACCACTTGTATATATTTTATAAAGGTGCTGGGACCGATCAAGCTGCTCAGAGATCTCGCCGCAGAAGCCATCCGCTATCATTTGCTTAAATTTTTGGCATAACATACCTGCTTGCGTTCACCAAGAAGCTGCAATGTGCTTGATGTGTTCTGCTTCTTCCTTTGTGGATTCTACGGTGCATTCAAACAACAAACGGGCTCAAGCCGCCAGACTGGGCCCTCCCCGGCCCAATCAGGTCTTCCATCCCTCAGCGGAGCACGTCTTCTCAGCAGACCCCTTCCATTGCCACTCAGGCGCGCCCGGACCGGTGGTGAACGACATGTGGCTTTTTGGGGTGCATGGCTTGGGCGGGGAGAACAGCACACACGTTGTCATGTTCGTTCTTGTCATAGATATAAGCCAGCAGACGACGTGATCATTGCTTGGTTCTGCAAAGCAAAGCTATCACATGCTATAAATGAATATATATAATATATATATATATACATAATATACATAATATATATATATATATGCGAACTTCTAAGAAGGGAATCCACAGTACCTCAGCTAACCAACGACCGCCTCTTCCACTTCTGATTTCTCAGATTCCACTTTTTGGAGTCCTAAGAGGAGTATCCAGTGGAGTATCCTGCTCTGTTGATGTCCAATCCAAACCCCGAAGTTGGTCACCCTAAGAATCCAGACCTGCAAATGAAATGGGTTTAGGGTTTAGGGTTCAGGTCAGACCAGGCGTTCAGGCATTCAGCTTCGAGCAGCTTTGTTCTCCTGGCACCCCCATGCACCACCGGTGTTTGAACCGAAGAAAGGGGGGTAGAGGGGAAACCATCGGTCACCTGGTCGGGCCAGGAGCCACCAAGCGCTTTCATTGGTTGACCGTCCGGGGAGACCGAGGATGGTACGAAAGCCCTGTGTTCAGCCTTTTTGACCCTTTGACCCGGTTTTGTCTGAGTTCAGAGACCAAACCCCTTTCGAACTTCCGCCCATTCCCAGTTGGTACAACCCAGATATGGTTTGATGTCCGTGAAAACCAACACCCACGCCTATGGCACCGCATTTTGTGGCAGGTAATGAGTTCCACTGGTCCTCCGAGAAAAGACATTTCTGCTGCGCCATGCGGCCCCTCGGACGATCCACAGCTGGGGCTGCGGGGATGTTTTTTGGGGGGCTGGATGGGGCTGGAGAGTGTCTCTAAACTCTAGATACTCTAGTTTACGATGGTATATTTTCCTTGCACTCTGAGGTTCTATTTGGCAGATTCCAGTGGATATTGAGTTTTTTCGGTGTTCGTTTTTAAAGCCCGCCGGTAGCGGCGCAGTGGATTCTGAGAAGTTGATCTTTACATGGCTTCATTGCTCAATGATCAGAGGGTGGAGCAGGTTAATAATGTTGCATTCCATCAAATCAGGTGAATAAGCCTGGTTGATTTACAATAACTTCCAGCGTTCCGGGGAAATGAAGACCCAACATTCACATGGTCTACAACTTATTATATATTCCTGAATTATCAGGCTTGTCGATGATCCCATGCTGAATATTAGCTGTCTTCGGACGCTGTTGCAAATCAAAGATATGATTTGTCGCACTTGCCAAGAGGTGCCAGAGGTGCAGATACCATTCTATAACGAGTGATAACATACTCACGTACTCTTCCTCCCATTTCAAGGGAGATCCTCAGCTAGGTTGGACTGAGCCTAAAATGTTGATGTCTGAAGAGATTTGCCCAGGAAGATCGGGTGCAAATTCCACAGCGGACACTTGGATTGGCTCGCAATCGCCTCGCTGCGCGTTCGGGTCGATTGCAATCGACTCACTCCTCTCCTGACTGCGCGGAGTGGATGTAGGGGGAGAGATGCTTTTCCGCCTGGTTTCGGAAGGGCTGTGTAAACAGCGGTTCAACTTCTTTCCAGCATCAAGCAAGTATGAAGAAATTGGCCACAACAGGTTTTGTCTACAGCTCAAGTAAGTAGCAAGCTTATGCAACTACCAGGCATGCGCAAGCCACTCACAATCTCCTTCGCGTGCCTCCCAAAACACCAGGAGAACATATACCTGGAATCAATGCCTCGGAAGATTCTAATTACTGGAATTAAGAGAATACTTAAGAACGTAGCCCATCCAACTGGGTCGCCATACGACTGAGCTTCATCCTGGGCATGGTGTGAAACTCGGTCAGTTCCTTTCACGGATCTGGTGTAGATTGAATTGACTACATACATACACACAGAGTTCACGATCGACATGTTTTGCCTTGAGCCACCCCTGCAGGTGTCTCATTATGTTGCACAATTAGTGTTAATGTGGCAAATAGACCTGTCTTGTTCCAGAGTAGAAGGTCCCCGTTCTTGGTCCCACTTGAGTTACACTCCAAACCCCGACGTAAGGAATCTATATGACAGTTGCACAAAACAGCTTAAAGAAAGTATTTCAGAAGCCGCTCTGCAGCTAATTCTAGCATGATGAGCTTTGTCCATTCGTTCTAATTCATTTGTTTGAGACGGTGTCTTTGAGAAACTGGTAGAGGTGAACGCAAATCATTGTTTGAGCATTTCCTCAAAACATCACCAGCTCCAAAGACCAAATCTCATCCGAAAGTTCCTCAGCTGTTCCTCAACCTCAGTTCTGCTGGGCCACCAGCACTTCGACTGCAACACCTATGACGCGGACTGGAAGACCACATGGACGGAGGAGCAGAAGCATCGTTGTTGTCACGACTATGGCGTGGGCCCTTCGACCGAAGAAGCGAGAATCGCTTCGCGGTGTGGTTTCGGTCGGGTGACCAACCGGGTGCTTGTGGTCACCCACAAGCCGGAAAGCCGGAAAGGTCGGTGTGTTGCCAGAAGTGGATGGCCAAGACAGCGAAAACAGCGAAGAGTGCGTGGGAAACCGAACGATGTTGCCAGCCAGGGCTCTTCAAGGACTATATTATACTTGAGTACTGGCACAGACAGGCGGCAGGTGGTTCAGACATGTTCAGATCGACAGTGTTTCAATGGGTAAGATCGTGGGACGTTGGCCTATGGTGCAGGTCAGATGTTCTTGATGTGAAGGGGTTGTGGGTGTCCATCCGAAGATCGAACTCTAACCTTTTAGATCCTGTCTCAATCCAATTCTCGACGCAGTGGAATGAGTAGAATGAACTGGTTGTGGCTTTCGGCCCATACGACGCAAACTGACTTCCTATACTAACTACAGTACCTGGAAAGGGCCATTTTGACTCGCGCATCTGGGCGATGTTGTTGCCACATCGATTGAAGCCGGAGCCGAAATTGCTGGTCTTTACTCAGTTATGTCGCCCGAACAATGGAATCGTATTTTATAACTGTGTCGTTTTGTTTGCAGTGTTTTAGCGTGTGGAAGCTCATTGTTTGCGTTGGTTCACCTTCTTGCAGATGAATTTAGCTAACCTAAAAAGCTTTAAGCATAGTATTACTATGCTCCCAGTTTTCTTTGCTCCCGTGCCAGTTTAATCATTGTTGACCATCAGTATCCATCAATTCATTTTGCCTATTTGGATGTATTTAATTGTTTTTAATTGGATTCTTTGTTGGGCGGCCTTGGCAGAAATCCAAGGATGCGAGAATTGGCACCCACCAGCCCTTCCCTTGGCCTCTAGCCAGCATGGTGTCGTGAACATTGGTGAAGGGACTCTTTTGCGAGTAGAAGATATCGCACTTGTCTTTTCCGGGTGGATCTCAACGGACTCCGTCCCAACAGATTGATTCTAGAGTTTACATTGGAAGAAATCACTGGGCTTCATATCAACCACAGTACTTGTTCCGACTGCTACAGATGACAGGTGTGTTGAACATGCCAAACGGGTCCAAACGGTCAACCATTGTCAACCCATGGTAACCCATGGGTCGTGGTAACTGAGCAGGTGCCAGTAGACCTGCCTGTGTTTACTTGTTGAGGTGCGTAATAACGACGTACACTAAATAATAACAATCAATAACATCATGAGTTGAAACAAGTTTATCGTAAATCACCGAACATTGTTTGTTAATAGTAGTGGGCCAACCTGGAACATGCACACCATGGATCAATCCATGAAGTAGTTCTACAGTGATAAAAGTACATCAACAATCCCCTAGAGGATAGCACAGGGTTTTGACCCACCGCATCACCTTTGGAAAGCAAACAGATTGCCTGGTCACCTCGTTTGTTGGCACAGGTACCATGTAACCGAACCAGGTACCTTGCTCCTTCTCCCACCGTCGGCTTGGTTGAAGCCATCTTCTTCAGAATGGCTTCACCCACGAAGACGAACATGGAGCTTAAGGAATCAGGTTTCGGGACTTTCCGAAGAAGATCTTGACGTCATGATATCAACCAAGACTAGCACTAGCCGTCTTCCATGGAACATCAATGCACACAATATGATTATCCAATGATATGCTTGACAACCTCTGGGAGACTAGTGCAGAATAGGCCGGATGATCCTAGAGGCCCAGCTGAACATTCATCACTGTAAGCTCGGAGGAGAGGAGAGTCATTTGAGGTCAGAATGGCCAAGGACACCACCTTCGACTGTGATGAAGGTCAAGAACACTGCCGTCGGTGTCGGTGTGTTTTCGTTTTGTTGGTTTTTGTGGGCACAGGTGAGGTTGATTGAACATCCGGTCAGGTCGAGGGGGATTCTACAAACTTTACAAGTCTAGAAACACTCCAAAACAACCAACAAAGACCACGGCACTTGAGGCCGGACGCACCAAAGAATGCCAATTAGAACATCAATTGCAGGCAATTAAAACAATATAAATATCACCCAGAAAGAAAGGCTCCCACATAAGCATAGAACAAAGGAAGATCACAACACATATATGCAGACTAGTTCTGCAGACGTGCTTTTTTCTTCCGGAGACCGAGAGAACCAACACACCACCGCGGCCTCCCCGAGTTCCTCGTTCGTCCCAGACGTAGTGACCGAGTCGTCAGGCGCGGCGTTCCCGGACGTGTGGAGCGTGGCCAAGCGGGCCTTCTGCTGTCGCCACGAGTCCAAAGGATGTTCAGATGCCACACCACCCAGACGCCTGGTTGAAGTCGTCGTAAGGAAAGGAATGGTTTGCGTAGATGTTGCCCGGGCTACGAGTAGGGCCCATATCTCCGAAGATGGGACCCCAACTACCCTTCGAAATGGAGGTAGTTGGAGCCCCAGTCAAAGTAGGGAAGTCCTAAGAATCCACATGAGATAGACCAACGATGGACGAGGTCCTGCACCGGTTCGGGAGGACCCTGATTGCTAGTGCTTGCAGCAGATATATGATATATGCCACGTAAGCTAGATCTTGTATTGTTTGCAAGGTAGATGTATCGTGGATGGTTTGTCCATCAACAGTATCAGGATGTATCATGTATTGTTCTGTGCTGAGGATACGACTGCCACGCAGGCCACAACGGAGCACCTTGGCAGTGATGGTTGACTTGTTGATGTTCTCTATTTTCAAGCCGACAAACAACCAAACAACAGGTGAGCAACACTACATGAGGTCTGACGGGTATATGTAAGCCTCCACATGGAGACCAGGTTCATACAAATCCTTTTAGCGGGAGGGAACTTGTTGGATCTTATCAGATCCTGTCTTTGTCTCGGTGTATCCCATGTGTATCCTTTCCTTCAGTCAGTGAGCTTCAACATGCTTCAACGGCATCTTCCCAGACACCAAGGCTTGGTCAAAGGCACAGACCCAGTGGTGCTGCGACATGAAGAACGTGGGCTGCGGGGCGTTGCCCCCAAAGTTTGACTGTGGAGAGCAGGTGGCCGAATGGCACCAGGCGCTTGCGCACGCGCACGAGAGCACGAGAGCACGAGCACGAGGGCAAAACGGAGACTCGTGGAGGGTCAAAGTGGGCAATTGGACCCATCAAGTCAACCAGCCGAAACTGGCTTCGCTTCGCTTTGCCGATGGAAGCAGGTATGTATTTATCGTAACGTAATGAGTTCTTGATAAGTTCTTATATATCTTATATAGTGTTTTGATGTTTGGGCTAAAGGAAGCAGGTCCAATGAATATATACCCATGGAGGAGATGGCATGTCTTTGTGATATGTTTGACACCCATATACACCCATGAGATTTTTTGATGTAATGAGCACCCATATTATGTGATTCCAATATCTTTTCTCCTTCAGCCCGTGCAATTCCCAGTTCGAGTCCCAAGAGCCGGGCACGTGCCCGGCTCCGCGTGTGCCAGGCCTGGTCGGTCCAAAAGCAACGCTTTTGTCCGAAACCCCGGAGGGACCCGGAGCGTGACTACATCTTCCCGCCGAACAGGTCTCCAAAAAAAAGGATTTGGCCTAAATCGGCCTAAAAGTCATACTTTGTGACTTGAGTCCGTTTTCAACCGTGTTTTTCTTTTTGCAGGTTGTCTTGAATTTGAAACACCCACAGAAAGGAGCAAAACCAAGCATGAATTGCATGTTGGTGTTTTTTTCCCTGAACGTGAGTGCTGTTTTGTGGTCACTGAGGGGCGGAAGGGGTGACGTGGCAGATGGGAGGGGACGATGTGTTTTGGTTGTTTGTGTAACAAAAACATGAGGAGCTGTGTCTATTTTTGTTTGAGATGGCACAAGCAAATCCAGTACTTAAACAACGATGTGACTTCCCTTGGAATCATTCTGAATGTATACAATTGTAACTCTGTAACTCTTCCAGTCCCATTTGATGCAAAACGGATTCACTCGGTCACCAGGTTGCGACTCGGTGAAGGTGGGCTGCCCAAAGACGCGCCACTTGGAACGAGACCGGGACCGGTTGCAGAGGATGTTGACACCACATGAGCAACCACTTTTATTTAGGCTTTACTAAAGATAGTGTACGGCATGCTCTATGTGCTTGTCTATCATCAGTATTCGTTTGTGAAAGAGATAGGGCCACCACAGCCGCAGCACACATGGAAGTGGACGAAGGATGTAAGTGTCGTGATGTGTCGTGTGTGTGTGTGTGCTTTTTTAGTCATATTTTTGGTTTTTGTTCATTCTGACCAATTCATTGTTCATCCAGTTTCCACCTCCATAGAACATCAGTCAGAGAGTATAGGACATGAGGGACATTTGCTTGGATCCTCAAGGACCTTTCAATACGTGAGAAGGTGGGGGACGTTTCTGGTGGGATTTATGGGGACAAGCCAGATCGATGAATAACACCTCCCATTTGGATGCACGGACTTGTGGACGCGTCGCTCCCAACCATCCCTTGCCCACAGCAGGTGGGGCGGGTATGGGTGGGTGATCAAGTCTGGGGTAAAACATGGAAAAACAAGTAGCCTATGTACAGCTATCTGGAATGCTAGTAATTACCACAGCTCGTCAAATGAAGAATTACGAATTGAACAACATTAATGCACTACCTAATTTGGTTCAGAGAGATCAATGCAAGATCCTTTTTCCTGGCCATATGATTCCGGACCATGATACAGAATTTATCCCACTTGGAAGGATAAATTTCTGGTAAATTTGGCCACGCAGGTTTTTCCACATTTTCGGGTATCGGAGGAACCTCGAATTCCTATTTGGATTGTAAAACCTGTTCATGTATATTGTGTTTTGTTTTTAATCAATCAAGAATCAATAATCTAATACAAACACCTGTCGATTGTACTCAATGTTGCGCTGTTCATATATTATAGTAATAGTCAAACTTTAGGTGAGATTAAAGGTTGCAACTTGTGTAAAAGCATGACCTCAAGCTCACAGAACGTACAGCAGTAAAGAAAGGAAACACCCGATGCCCTCCACATCCCCTCCACATGCCGCAATGACCTCCTCACTGGCCTCATCTAAAGGTCATCAATGACCTCACGGGGGGGATTACAGATTACAAGCTTTCGGATTGCCTGGTTTTGCACCGATGACGGATTGGAACTTAGAGACCAGGAGCAGACACTTCATTGTTGGTGGCGCTCCTGCATGGTCACCAGCTTGTGATTTTGCCCAAGTGCAAATCCAGAACCCCAACTCAGTGGTTTTTGGTTGCTTCCGAATCGGGTTATGTCCTTGAGGGTGGCTGCAGATGGAGAGCGCAAAGAACAAAGTGGTTGCGAGGAGATGCTCCCATTTGAAGGTTCTGCTTCGAACTTCTCACCCCGGAACACCAGCAAGTCTGCAGTCGTGTAGTGTGCGCACTCATTTTGATGAGCGCGTCAGGCGCACCATGTTCTCCCCAAAAAGCTATCCCAACATTCTCCTGTTGCTGGTCTGTCCGACAGCGCTGAGGCCCTTGGCTTCAAAAGTTGCTCCAAGCCACGCCCTCGAAGAGAGTGGCCGTTTTCGGTGCGGTGAGGTAAGGTGGCCGTGAGTCAAAAGTTCCCAAGAACCATGTAGGTTGACCGTGTTTGACCATGATTGACCTGCCAAGAAGTCTGATTTGCTCCCTGGGGTATTTCGGGGTGGTCAAACAGGGAGAACCCTATTTTGATCCACACTCAAGAGAGTCTCCCAAGGACCCCAGCTGGTGGTTTGGAGCACGGAAGGAAGGCCTGATGCAAGTTGGAATATGAAGGGTCCACACACACATACTCATACTAGTTACTAGTACTCATACTCTATCAATGTGTTGTTTGTTTAAAGACGGGTCCAACCAAGAACATGCTGTGCCGTTTGTAGAAAGTTGGTAGATGGTAGGGTTTGACCCATGGTGGTTGGTGGATTGAGTATGTTTAGAACTTGGCCCCGAAGACACCGCGCTCGCGATCTCGATGGGCGCCTTTGTCGACGTTCGCGTCACGGTCGTTGGCCTGACGAAGCCGTGCTCACAGCGCAAGCTCCGGGAGCAAACAGGTTTCAGATCACGAAAGACGGTGAGGTGGTAGATGGGTAGATGTCTCGATGGCTGAAGCTACGTAGTGGGGTTTCAATCGGGTAACTCCAAAGCGGATCCCGCGTGGAAGTGGACAGTGGACTTGAGAGATGAATGATCCTAGTTGGTCCAAACAATTGGAGGGAATCTTGACCTCAACCCTTGGCTGATCCGACCCAGTCCAAGCATGTTTGGTTTTTACTTTTTCTAAAACACTGACCATGTGCCCTGACCTCTTTCAAAGACGGAATTGACTTGCATATAGACCTTGTTGGACCATTATTGGGTTTTGGAGAAAACTACTAAGCGCTTCAGCCACTTCTAGAAATCCCCGGCAGTTGCGATGTTGTCATGGATCTGGCTCGCACAAGCTGCGATGGTCTCTGGCCGGCCGAACATACTCTTTCTGATGGCGGATCAGTTCCGATTCGACATACTGAATGAGACGCTCGTTCTGCACTGTCCGGCTTTCACATGGACATGGACCCCCGTGGGCCTGGATGGGCCTGGCGGAAATGACGCATACCAGCCGCCTCCAACAGGTCTCATCTGGAGCTTTTGGGTGACCTTCTTTGGTCGACAGCAAGTCATTGAACGAACCCGGCCGGTCGGGTCATCGAAGGAAAGTCACACCCCATTGCTTTCAGGGAGGCTAAGATCTTGCAAGTAGGTATCGATGGCTATCGGATCATAAGGGCAAGGTTGGCCTGTTCTTGCATACGAATTGAAATCCTGACGGCTGTCCAGCAAGCCTCAGTGCATCAACGGTGCTTGAAATACTAAACATGACACACATGTGTTGCGGACAGAAGCGCCTTGATGTCATGTGGATCGGACTTGGGACTCGGTCGAGGGAAGCCGTGTTCTCTCAAAGGCACGTGGACCCGCACAGAAACGGTCATCAAGGTCTGACGGCAGCTGCCCTATACTAAGGAGCAAAGGTGCTGTGAAAAGGTACACTGTGAGCCCTTGGATTCAACCTTCTCATTGCCTTTGAACACTTTGACTCGGTTTGGCCCCATCCCCAACGTCGCGTGGTCATTTTACTGTCCCAGGAGCCTGACGCCAAACCTACAGCGCCTGGCACAAGAGGGAGCTCGCTTTCGGCACCACTACTCTTCCACCCCCACCTGCACACCAGCACGCGCCGCGCTCTTGACGGGATTGAGCCCATGGAGGTGAGGGTGACCCACTGCGCCAAAACACAAAATTTCACCGTTCCTAGCTGAAGTTCGGTCATGTATATCAGGCTGTGAGAGAATCCGAGGTCCAAAAGAGAAGCCTCAAAAAGAGCAGAGTAGAGCGGAGTTCTCTTATGTTCTCTTGGCTTGTGGGGAAAAAAGACACGGATATATAGAATGGGCCAGGGCTGTTTTAGTGGACCTCATGGTCTCTTGGATTCTGCCCTATGACGTGCGACCCTCTGTATTTCGGCAGACTAAGGAAGGAGGATGAAGTGATGACGTACAAGTCTAGGTTTCGGCTTTCAGTGCTCAAGCTGACTCAAACTACTTTCGGTTGTTTTTTCCTGTTCTCTAGTGAACAGCATTGCTGTGAGCAGGATGTTTCACACATACGATATCCACCAAGAGACCAGTGAAATCCACTGGGGCTGCAAATCTGTCATGCAAAGATCCACTTTTCTCCGCTTTTTGCCAGGCATGGTATGCTAGGCTACGGCGCCATTGCTCCAAGCTACAGCCCGAGCCCCGAGCTGCCCGAGCGTTTGGGGCAGCTTGGGCTCTCCACAGCGGTGGTGGGGAAGAACCACTTTGGCTGGGATCGCAAGCTGCAGAAGCCCAGTGCCTTGGCCAAGGGCCATTCCGACCTGGCCTCTTGGCCCCTCTTGGCCCTGGCAGCCTGGGAGTGTTTCACCTAAAAAGCTGCATTCGATGCCAGGAGCCCCTAGTAGCGAACCTTGCTCCTAGTAGTAAGGATACATATATATATATATACAATTATATACATATATATGTGGGCGTTTCTTTTGGGGGCTCCAGCCGCAGGGTGTCTCTGCGTGTCCAATTTTGGGGTTTTCACTGCTGATGGAGTCTGGCCTTTGTTGGAACAATGACCTCCACCCCCTTCCATCTACACCCAGGAGATCATGGCTTTGAAGATCTACAGATCTACGACGGCTTGGGCAATGGATTTCGCAATGGAACCTTGGAAGAGTTTTCTTGCCGGTTTCTTCGGTGGAGCCGATGGGGAGGATGTAGGGTCCTTGACCTTTTTGTGTGGAAGATTCTTGTAAAGAAGGAGGCAACCAGTAATCACTCATGCCATGTTCAACTGTTAAGCTGTGCCCACACTCGTCCTTAAAGTCCTGGAGAATGAATGATCCTTACCTCAATCATTACTTTGCAGTTGAAGATGAAGACGGACTAGCCAGCCTCGCATTGCCAACATCTCTCTTTTCTATCCTTTTCTCTTCTCAGGACCTGGCTTGCATACTTGGTTGGGTTATTTTTCTTCGGTGTTCAGCATCCTGGCCTCATCATCCCAACCATTCGGAAGTGGAAGCCTCCCCCTCTAGGATTTTGCCCCGTTCCACGTAGTTGGTGGGAGTGCTTCTGACACATTTTGAAGATGGATCCGAGGTTCATGCATCACAAGAACACATATAATTTGTTTTGTAAGTCGATCCATGTCCTTGACAAAAGAGTCATAGTATTATAATATCAACTATATATATTTGTTTTTGTTGTTGTTTGTAATCTTGTGTCCTTCAGAACATTTCAGAACCCAGAGTATCAAGATCACCATAGTATCAGTTTGACTTCCATGGATGCTTTGTTGGCCACTCACAGCTGGTGCTGGCACCCAGGCACCCAAGACGTTTGGTGTAGTCTCGGGCACCCCTGTCGGGTCCCGCTCAGGAAGCGAATTTGATGACTACGATCGTTGGTTCCAACAAGAAGAGCCCGGTGAGAACCCCCTCCGCAGCGGCGGATTGGACTGGAACTCGTGGAGAGGTGCGGCCTACGAGTTTGACCATGGGCTGAAGTGGGACACCAAACAGTCCCAGGTAGGTTCGATGCGAACCTTCCTGACGAAAAAGGGGGCGAACCCGGGAACTTCAGGGGTGTTTGAAGGTCAGTTTGTGGGCCAACTTAAATGACCCCACACGCAGCAGATGTTCCTTGCGCTCCCACTGCTCCCACTATTCTGAAGTGCGGAGGGCACAATGAATCTGAATGAATGACCCAAACAGCATCAACAGTTGCCTTTGTTTGAGATCGAAGGATGATTGGTATTTCAGGGGGGCCGGCCGGCTTCACCAATTTGGTCCGGTGGAGGTGCATTGGTTTGGAGAGGAGAAGCACTCGTGGGTTCTACCCAGAGTTCGACCAAGGAGGAGTGGCTACATCCCACTGCCTGGACCGGTCGAAGAGCTTGCCAAGCGCTTGACATGCTTTCTGCCAAGAAGGAGCCCTTTTTTCTGAAGGTCCCTTGGACAGCCATGCAGGAGTCTACTCTGATCTCTACATGGATTCTTGGGTTTGGTGTTTTTCACAGCTGCCCCCAAAAACATGTGGTCCAACTGAAGCACCCTGAAAGGACTGCCCTCAAAGGTCCATGTACGACACAGTCCAGCTGCTGGTGGGCCCTTCACAGACTGTTCGTCCCCAGGGTAAACGTAACAACGGGTCCTGTTGCCAATTCTTAAAACCATTTGGTCAATGGACGCGACTAGGGTGGAGGCCATCGCTATTAGGTTGGAGGCCATCGCTACTAGCAGCAAGAAGCTAGTAGTAACTAGAAGCTTCCTTGGGAATCGTTTCACCTGTAGTAACAAGAAGCTTTTTAGTATGTCTTTGATCGCTACTGGTAACTAGAAGCTTCCTTCTAGTTGCACCACATCACCACCGCTTTTGTCGCATCACGTGGAACATCGCCTTGGTCTCCTCTTCTCTCTGAGGTCTCGTTCCATCGACCACACAGCCCTTATGACCCACCTGATCGTTGGCTGAACACCACCGTGGCTCCTTCGGAGCCTCCGGCACTGGCCGCAGATGGCTGGGATCTACACTTTCGCAACTGCACTGCACAAGGACGGCAGAAGTCTCCTTCACGATGTCTTGCTTCGCAGGGTATTGCAAGAAAGGTTTTTAACAAATCGCATGTATACTGTCTGATCAGGTCAGGAGATTCCTCTTTTGGCTGGCCATTCTACAGATCTTGGAAAGGTTTGTCTTGGAAAAGGTTTGCACTGTCCTTGTTTCACAACCCTCAACAGCTAATTCCCAACTCCAACTACTCCTTTGCTGTTAGTGGCAAGGTCTCACTGTCCTTCTTGTGTTTGTTCAACCTGGCAGGAAGTGCTGATGCCTGGTGTGGCAAAGTGGACAACAGCTCCTTGCAGCTGACGCGACGTGCCTATTTGGCAAACGTGCGCTTTGTCGACGAGCAGATCGGTGAAATTGTGCCTTGCATGTGAAC